GCACATTTCTTTACTGTACAGATGCGTCGGTGACGTTCCGTCGCTCTCGGTGGATGTTTTTCGCAATCCACGAATCGAAACCTACGATCATCTCGTGGCAGGCGTTAAACAAATGTTTTTGATACTCACAGTCAACTGAAGCATTGAGACACAATTTTTTGTCACTTTCATCGTCTAAGTGTTGATTTATCGGTTGACCTGGGAAGTAACACACATAGACTGTGTTGGAAGCAAATATCATTGTGAAATCAACAAAATGACTTAATGTTGCTAAATCAGAAGGGCACTCCGATTTTACTGATCCCGACCTTTATTAATGATCCGGTAGCTGGAGCGACTTCGGTTTTCTTTATACCCGCTTTTCGGGCCTTTTAATCCGACTAATTGTCGTAACGCTCTTCGTAGCGATCTTGTAATGACCTTGTAGTGACACTGTATCGAAGTCACTACATTCATAAGAGTAATACCCTATCTCATGTTTGAATACCGAAATAAATCGACATGCGAAATACGTGCGATTTTATCAATGCAATCGAATGTATCTTTCATGACGACTTATTTCGCAGTCCAGACAGTAGATGCCCATTGGTTCTGTACGTACGCTACCCTTCCGTTTGGGGAGTGCGAAAAGTATTGAATTGTTGTGAACCTTTTTTAATGCTATAGATTTCCTAGAAAGCCAATGATCCTGCTTTCCATCGTATCCAGTTTCAAACGGAATAGACGTGACTTGACGTGCCTGTCCGCAATCAATTTCATTAAATTTCAATCAGCGTGTGTTTATGAACCGGTCTTGTCGTGATAAGATTCAGAAGGTGGAAAACATCGTGAGAATAAGCATGGGTACCACGATCAATCTTCCTGGTTTTCAAAAATCACATCAAGGCCTGGATTTACCCCTTGGCGGCTAAACCGTTTGTTTAGGCGCGTCTTTGAGACCCCTTACGATACAGTGCAGATCGTTTGTTGAGATGGATCCTCACAAGTCAAGTTCTGTCACGTCCAGTCAAGAGTTGCTGGACTAATGTGAACTGCAACTCTTCTTGTACGATGTAACTAGCGTTAATGGAGTCTTATGCTTTGAAAAAACGTCGTAACAACAATTTTTCGCTCGACTCCAGTGTACTTGGTCATGTTTATTTTTACTTATTCAGTACGGCATACGCACTTTAATTCGATGGCGATCTAATTAGCAGGCTGCTGTTTCGACAGCTCTGCTTGTTGGGGACCTTGATGGCAAAGAAAGGTTACCTCGTCTTTTGTCGCGTCCCATGCATGCTTATTGAGCTTGGCTATCTCGGCCAGTTGCTGATCGTCTCTTTTCAGAGCACGTTTTACGGGTTGTTGGAGCGGTGATCACAAGTTATTTATGATTTCGACACCACACTGGCACCTAGATGACCGACCATCGATGGGCGTACTCCTCTTTTGTGCTTTTTTCCTCCCTCGACTTGTGTAATCGTCGGTAAATCGGGTTTCACGCTGCCAGGTGGACTCGTGTCTCTGGTAATAGACTGTAAATCTTCACACGAACACGTGAGCACTTGGAGGGTGCTTGATATGAGTCATTGTAATCTCGACTATGTCGAAAGATGTTGCTTGATTCAAAAGCCTTCTGACCACACTTGGGCCGACTCGGAATCTTGCACTCTGCGTGTAATCGCAGATGAAGGAGTTTAGAGACATCTTGCCTTCCTGGCCACACTAACCCAGGAGTAATCTTCTTGGTGTTCGGTCGATCTCCTCAGACGTTTAAAAGACAAATAATCTTGCCGGTAAGAGGAAATACACTTAAGCACTTAGTAGTAGAAAAAATCTCATTACAAGATATATCACCAAAGACTAAACCTCTGACTAAGCTACAATGTTTGCTAGGATGCATCACCACGTACCGCCTTGTGCTGTCGAGATTAGATCTTTCATCGTATTCGGCGTTCCGCGCCAGATTAATATTCCCTTATCATCCGAAGATCGCGTCATTCAAGACCAATATTATCTAACATCGCTTCCCCAAGAACGCATCAATCAGGATCGCGCCCCCAAGATCGTATTGTGTGGTGCACCTCATTGTGTGGCTCACACCTACGCCAAAACTAGTACTTAGGCGTAGCGCGATCTGCGGTATACACTTCTCGATCCGCTTCACCACAAATATCACTCATCTAAGAAATATGAGCTTTCCTGTTGTCTGGCAGCCGGTGATTCGACGCAGAAGAGAATCCATCACAAGTAATTCGATGCAGATTGAACTCTTTTTAATGTTTAGTTAGTCATGCACGAACTCCCACTATGCTTACCAGAGACTTCGGATCTGCTGTCGTGGGTAGTCTATTCCTGCTGATCGTCTCTTTGCACGTCGCGGCCCACCGCATGTACTGTTCTCATCGCTAATCGCGTGGTGTGATGTGGGACACACTATATTGGTGTGTCTCGATTTTGTCCTTGATCGCAATTCACGGATCACTTGATATACTCCTTTTCCATACCCATCATCACTCGATATTAGGTGGGAAGCCGATTCCATAAACTACCCCCCCCCCACCAAAAATTACAACGGTCAGACGTAGCTCGTGCGACTGTCTCTACCTATCAGTATTAAGTAAATCCTTACCGAAGCGCGATCCGTCCTTCCGTTGTGGAATTTTTCGATCACTTAACTACAATGGCACCCACTGTAGGCCTTCATAATTGTCGTACACATCAGTTCGACGGCCTTCCATCCGAGGTCACTTGAATAGGATAAGCCTTTACGTAAGCGTAAGAAATTACTCTTTACTACCCATGATATTCATGTCGTATGGAATTATCTGTGGTTGATGAGCGTACCAGGTGCGACGGGCATTGAAACTTTTGTCGACACAGTACAAGCTATCAATATCAACCGCCGTGCAAGTCAGCGTTTAATACCTGACGCACATGTAAGTGTGAAGAAACGTTATAAATCATGTAGCAACGGTGATAGAATAAAATTGCAATTTGAAGTGGATTATATCTATAAAACATTCAGCTTCCAAAAGTACATATTATTCGTCTTACGTTTAATCGGTTAAACTACACAATGACAAGATAGCTACCCGCTTTTACCATTCATTGCGCGTGTCTAGTAGTTACTAGTGTTGTTGTTGGTTCGTAAAATGGCCGGTAACATTAACCGTAGAGCGATTGTTGCCGAACATTTCCTTCGACGGTAATATTTTCCGATGTTATTTACTTAGTAAAGAAAGTTGAAAAATAATGTATCATGATATTATGAATTCATGACGCATGGAGAAGGCAACAACACGTAACGGCCCGAGAACTTTACAGAAATAGTGGTTGGGTGTTCAGTGATGGTCTTAGTGATGCCAACTGTGTAATGAGGGCACATGTCCGTAATCGGCTTAATATTTGATATATATAGATAAATATATATATAATACAGAGCCCTCATGAGAGGTTTCAAGTGATGGCATTCAATAAACAATCTGCAATAATTATGTACACGGTACATAATACGGGTAGTAATAGATCAATTACAGAACCATACTCATAAAGACAAAACGTCCCTTATTGGATATGGTTCTGTAATTGATCGATTTCTAAGTACGAGACACATGGATGACTGGCTGATGGGTCAGGACTGGTCTGCCTGTCAGTCATCAAATGATGACAGACTAACTCGTCAGCTGTTGAGCAATGTCTGATACCACGATTACTATGCGAGCTCGTTTGATCTACGTAAAGGGTACCTAGGGCAAGGTTTACTAAAATAAGAGCATAAATAACTCTCAGTTCCTCAATTAAAGGAAAGAATACAAATTGTTTTGGTCGTGCTACACGTGTGCACTTAGTGCTGGTAGTTCGGAAGAAGCAGTAAGCTTTTGCTTGTGACATTAGAGCCTCTCCTTAGGACTGGTGGGCCCTTAGGTCGTTTACAAATGTTTGCGCAAAACAAAGAGGCTGTAAGCTGTGGCTATCAGCCGTAAAGTCTTCCTCTGACTAAAGAGCTGTGTAGCTCCGCTACAGGTTCTAAGCTGTCATAAGAATGTACTATTTTTTGTACCCGCAGTCAGGAAGATAACATACGCGAGGTACGTCCGTGCCTCAGGCCTCTCATCCTGACCTTGGCCTACTTCAGTACGCTACATCCTCACCATAATCGGATCGAACATGCTGAAGCAGATTGCTGATTTTGCGTCATTGAGGCTTCGTTTCCTGCGGTCCACTTATTCGCATGTCAACTCTCCTGATGGTACACGTAATTATCAATATATATGATAGTTAACCCGACAACACGAAATTACCGATGATGCTAAATCTTATGATTGCTTAGTCGTTTCCATGTTACTACTATATCGAAGTGCATTGTTCTATGTGATCCAAAACATGCACATACTCGAGCGGAGTGCACAGCGCTAATGCATATTTTGTCCTTTTCTCATCTTGTGTTAAAAGTTTGTATCTCTCCCTTATAAGTTATACTCAGGTTGCTTGGCGGCGACGATGTTCGTTCAGAAAAGAGGCACCAAATACGTGGACGCGTGCAAGCGCTCGCTACGCAAGTGTTTCTGTCAAATTTAATTTCAGAGGGGATGGCTCGCAGGCGGATGGTGCAAAAAAACGTTTCGAGAGCTTTTTGCTCCTGTATGAGGCGACGCCCAGTCCTGCAGACCTGAATGAGTATGTCAGCCGACTATTTGTTCCGTTTGCTGGACCATCCATCCATGCCATCGAATGGTCTATGCACGCGTCATTATGGTAAGCATGCTCCATTTCGAGCTCTATTCGACATTAGCTTTCTCTCGCTATCGCCAATTCGATTGAACCGCACGCTAATGAAAATGCTCATTTTATGCTTCCCTGTACAATCTTATAGTTCACCGATCTCGTCCACTCCGCCTTGATTTGCATCAGCTGGCTTCCCGCACCCCTAGCGAGGGCGTCCAGCCCTCCGCGCTCGCCAAAAAGAAACCACCTCCACCCACACCCACTTGACCATCACTCTGCATCGCCTCAATCGCATGAGTGGCTCCTCGGCCCCCGGCTCCGTGCGACTGCGGCGATGGGTCTTCGCGCTGCTCGTTGTAGGTGCCATCATCGTGCTATCCGACGTGCTTCTTACGTGGCAGCTACTGCCCTTCTCTCCGCCCACGTCCGCCACGACGTTAGCCACCCACGACTCCGTGGCCCGAGCCAACGACTCTTTAAACACGGATGAGCTCTTCCAGTCCACAGCGACGAGCGGCGCTGGCGGTAGCGTGGAGAAGACGATGATAGGGCCGCAGCAACTGACTGAGCTGGAGCGAAAGCTTGAGACGAAGTGGATTTACTCGCTGCTTACGCTGAGCCAGCAGACGAGTGTGCAGCGCGGCATTGTGATTCCGCTGTATGGGAAAATCATGACGCTCGGTGTGTCACTGATTCTGCAGCTGCGGTCTCTTGGTGTGGAGTTGCCCATTGAGGTTCCGCATTGTGGCGACTTTGACCAACAGTATGGAGAGATACTCATGACGAAACGCGAGTATTTGGGGGAGCTATACGTGTACAACGTGTGCGAGCGTGCGGCGGCTGCAAAGAGCGTCCTGGACCCCAGCAAGCCTCTGTACTGCGCTGATTTGAAGGGTTGCTACGCCCATTTTCGGGGCTTTTATGTCAAAGTGCTGGGCGTGCTTTTCTCCCGCTTTGAAGAAGTCATGCTCCTCGATGCCGACGCGTTGCTGTTCCAGTCGCTGATGCCGCTGTGGGATACGAAAAAGTTCCAAACGACAGGCACTCTCTTTTTCAATGATCGAATTGCGGAGCCTAATTTCCATGCGGCACTCGCATTCAGACCACGAAATCGGCCGAACATCATGGCGATCGAGGACTACCTGTCCAAAATGAATGTCGAACTGTTCCGCCACATCCCAACACTTGCACGTCCTGAGGCACCAGCCGATTTGATTGCCGCTGACAAGTCGAACGTAACGCTGCACTTTCAGCCAAGCGAGAACCTCCTTAGAAGTCACTTTTGGCACGGACGCAGTGCGCATAGTGTGGACTCGTCGGTACTGTTGTGGAATAAAAAGCGACAGCCACGTGCCACAGCTTTTTTGGCTTCGTTCGTTTCGCTGAATGACGTGCCACACCCACCGTCCTACGGTGACAAGGAGTTCTTCTTTGTAGCCTGTGAGCTCGCGGAAAGTCAGTATGCGTACTCGGACTTTGCCACAAGCTCTGCTGGCTCAGACTTTCGAGATTACGGTCCAAACAAGTCGGTCGTTTGCGGTTATGCGTCGCACACCTTTCCGGAGATATCTGAGAATGCTTCTGTCCAGACGTCAAGTCTGCTTTACATGAATGCGGACGACATGATGCGGTACAAGCCCAAGATATCACCGATGTACTATGCCGCGCCGCGTGCACACGATTTCTATCCCGGTTCATTTGAAGACCGGAAGTTGCTGATGAGATGTCCCTTTGACATCACGGGCGTTAGGTTCTCGGATGCTGAGGTACAGCAGGTCTATCAGAGGCAACGCTTCTTTAGAATTGCCAAAGAATGGGAAGTCAACGCGAACAAATCTGACATTGTCGAGCGCGTGGCGGCTGATGCGCTCACGAACGAGGAACTTGACGCGGTCATGAATCTAGAATCAAAAGGTCGACCAATCGAAGACGTTGTTAACTTCTTGGAAAGCGATCTTGACAAAGGAAGGCAAGATGAGAAAGCGAGAAAGTTGAAAAGTAAGGTGGATGAAGTTCGTGAACAGGAGACACTGCTTATCCGTACGCTGGATAAGATCGCACAACAAACAAGCGTAACGCGCGGGATCGTGATTCCGGTACACGATGGTAACATCAAGTCGGCTGTGTCGCTTGTCTTGGAGCTGCGTGGCATCGGCATTACGGACCCAATAGAGATGCCGTATTGTGGCGACTTGAACGCAGATACTCAGCAGCTGTACCTAGCCAGGAATCAGCTAGGCACAGTGTGGTTCTATGATGTATGTAAAAAGGCGGCAGAAATGACGAGCATCGTCGACCCGTCTCGCAGGGTATTTTGCGAAAGGTTCGAATACTGCTACGCTAAGTTTCGACAGTTGCTTATCAAACCTCTGGCGGTTACTTTCTCAAAGTTTGAAGAAATCATGATGGTGGACGCTGACACGACGTTCTTTGTGAGTCCCGCCAAGCTCTGGGATTCGGACAAGTACAACAAGACGGGCATTTTCCTCATGCACGACAGAATGAGTGACGAAAAGTCGTTTATGGCGGAGCGAGTACCTGGAAAGCCCAATGTCTCAGTAGAGCAAGATTACTTTTCGAGGTTCGACATAAAGCTGTTCGGCTCACTTTCCACGATCGAGCGGCCAAAAGCTACGTCGAAAAACCCGTCTTCACTGGCGCTAAAGTTTGAGCCAAGCGAGTTTTTTCTGAGCAGCCACTCGTTCAATCTCCGCGCAGGCCACCAAGTTGACTCGTCTCTGGTGTTGTGGAACAAGAAGAGACAAGCACGAGCAACTGCGATTTTGGCATCGTTCATCGCGCTGAACGATATTGCTGCTCCCCCTTCGTCTGGCGACAAAGAGTACTTTTTCTATGCAAGTGAGTTGGCTGAAACGCAGTATGCGTTCTCGGATCATGCCGTCAGTGCGGTTGGCACAGACGGTGGTGCAAAAACCTCAACCTTGTGTGGTGACATGGCGCAAGTGTTCCCGATTCACCAAAATGGCGTGCCTGACGACGACGTCCCGTTGTTTTATCTTCACAGCGACCACATCTTACTCCATACACCGGAACTGGAGCCTGTTTATTATATCAAGGCGCGGCCGTGGGACTTGTATCCGGGTCCGTTTGGTAAACGCGAACAAGTTTGCTCCTCCGACATTACCATCGGAAAGCTGTCCGAGGAGGAGAAGAGGCAGCTGGCCAAGCGACAGCGTTTCTACGAAGAGGTGGACGCATGGAATCGTGTTGCGCACCAAAAGCCAGACAATCTGGACGAGCCGAATGCTGCTGTTGGCAAACTATTGCGGACGTCGATCGTGGGCGAGGAAAGGCAGGATCCAGTTGACGCCGCACATTCTTCTCCGTACACTGACCAAACCGCGTCCACGACGCAGATGATGGAGAAGCAGCTTGTTTACACCCTGAGTCAGATCACACAGCGTACAACAACGAAGCGTGGCATCGTGATGCCGCTCTATGAGCCCATCTCGCGGTTGGGCTTTTCGCTGATCCTGGAGCTGCGAAGTATGGGCATCAGCCTGCCTGTTGAAGTACCATATTGCAGCGATCTGAAGCCTGAGACCGTGGAGCTGATTCGGTCAAAAAAGGAATTGGGAGAAATCCGCGCTTACGATATATGCAGTCTGGCTGCCGAAGCCAAAAGTGTCATGAACGCTACACGCCCAGTTTTTTGCGCGGATGTTGACGAGTGCCGCACCAAGTTCCAATCTTTCATGATCAAGCCTCTAGCAGTTGCTTACTCACAGTTCGAGCAGATCATGTTGCTCGACGCGGACACAACGTTCTTTATCGATCCTACTGTGTTGTTCGAGTCCGAGAAATATAAGGCAACAGGCACTTTTTTCATGCACGATCGCATCAGCGACGATTGGAAATTTATGGCCAAACCGGCGGCCGAAAACCGTAATATATCGGTGGAGCAGAAGTACTTTTCGGAGTTTGACGTGACCCCGTTCCAGACGTTGCCGACAATTCAGCGGCCAAAAGCCACAGTTGAGAACAAGACGCCCGTGAAGCTGAAGTTTGAGCCCAGCGATTTTCTACTGAAAAGCCATTCATTCAATCGCCGCGCAGGCTACCAACTGGAGTCATCGATGCTGATTTTGGACAAGAAACGGCAGCCGCGTGCGACTGTAATCTTGGCATCGTTTGTGGCACAAAACGACATCGCGTCACCTCCATCATACGGTGATAAGGAGCTGTTTTTCTACGCGAGCGAGTTAGCCGAGACGCAGTACTCATTTTCAGATCACGCTACGGGAGCTGTGGGCACAAAGCTTAAGGACCACGGTCCTAAGAAGTCAACGTTGTGTGGTGACATAGGACACTTATTTCCAATCCATCAAGACGGGGTGCAAGACGACGACGTGCCTCTGTTTTACCTCAACAGCGATCACATCCTACTTTACAAGCCGGATGTGGAGCCTGTGTATTATATGAAGGCGCGGCCGTGGGCGTATTATCCGGGCCCTTTTCGACGGAGATCGCAAGAGTGTCCTTTCAACATCACTGTCGGTAGGTTCGAAGAATCCCACATTAACCGCCTCGCGGAGCGACGAAAGTTTTTTGAACAAGTGACTGCGTGGTAGCGATGCTTGGAGAGGAGATCGAGAAGTGCAGTTGTTGATGCGTCGCGTTCCTACGTTTCTGAGATGAGGATCGAAAGCAAGCCGCTATGATGCTACTGCATCGCTGATTGATCAGCAAATGTTCACGCTGGGATATCTGCTAAGACGTCTATCTGCCAGAAAATGTCGACACCATAGCCACATCGAGCTTTTCTACTGAGCGACGCTTAGCAAAGTATGTAGCACACCGTGAAGTTTCTCTTTTTCTCTACTTGTGTACAGGCAGCAACTGCAACTATATGCTGTTAAAATAAAAGATAGAGACGCATCATTCTTTTCTTTTGTCCAGCATCCTCGCACTGCAGAAAGTCCTTGTTGTTCTCAGCTCCCACAGCTAGACATTGTCCTCCGGTGCAGCAATGCAATCCGTCACTGGAACATATTGACCAAAGTTATACACATGTGCAGACCAAAACTCTCGATTGTATGCACGCTGTTCCTGTTGAATGGTGTACTCGAAGGACGACGAATGGAGGTGTCGAACAAGTATCAGTTTTGGGGTATCGTATTTGCGCTAATCGATTGTGGTGGTCTGATTTGACGATTTGCTCATGCCGTGAGATTTTGCTGCTAGCTGGAAAATGCTGAAACTAATAACACTCTCTCTGTTGCATCTGATTGTGCGCGTCGGCTGCAACGTCAGCTTTCGACTTAAGCAACCCCTTCCCCTACTTCTCGATGCTGATTCTACGATTCAACACACAACGCAACACTTGTTCAAGTTGGTCGATGACAAGCAGGAGACCCCTTCGTAACTTTACTACAATTTGTAACGACGAAAAGCTGCTTACATCTAAATGTACGATGACAATCTATAACAACACAGGCGTTGCTCTTATAGACGCACACTTCGGTTCGGGACACAGACAAGCTCACTTGGACAACGAACCCGATCGGAGTGGCTAAATATAAGCCTTGATCAGGTGTTAGCGTTGTTCGATCAACACCCTCTATGAAATAGGGTAAGCCCCTAACATTCCAATGACATCGAATTTGGTCATAATAAATACTCGTTACAAATATTATTCATCAACTTTTACTTAATTAGTCATAAGGTGGGAATATATTACCATCGATGGTAATTTTCTGTACTCCTCCACTCATCGGTTTATTGGCGCCATTGTGTGAACAAACTCATTCACCAGTCGCTACTAGACACGCAAAATGGGTGGTAAACAGGTAGCTGTATCACGTATATGTAGTGCAATACATATTCAATATAAGATTAAAAGCATATATTCGAAAAGGCCTAGTTTAAAGATAGCACACAATTCGACTTGTAATTTTTGCCTAGCACCTTTGCTTGATAAAACAATGTTCCTCTGCACTTGCGTGTGCGTAAAGTATCGAGCACCGACTTAAACTGCGGTTAGTACAATCAGGAGGTGCTGTGTCGATGCAAGTGCGACAAAGTCACACTGTTAAATGACGCCATTGATATCTGTCCATTTTATGTGAAAATAAAGATCCGGATGCGTGACCGCAAAGTGCCATATAGCTTAGCCGGATTATTTTAGATCGACGAACGTTTACGCACAACGACCTCGATTTTAAGACCAAGTGCTAGTATTATAAAGTCTAGATCTATTAAGCGTACCCCTCTTCACCAAGATCAAAATGTATGACCAGTGAAACGTAAAGTTATGTCATAGGGGCAAGAACAATTGTTATCGGTGTACGGGGTAGCCCACGGTCGGAAAAAAATACCGACTGACAAGACCGGTGATCCGCCCGTCCCGACCGATCTAGTCTTATCTCAAGCTGATAAGGAAAGATGAATCTGTACCATTGGATTCGTCGATAAACGGCATGTTAGATTGTTATGTGAACCAAATGGATGTAGACCGAGAGTGTGACAACATATACCCAACTAAGTGTCAACAACGGCAGTTAATATCGAAATCAAAATTCGAAGAAGGACATGTGATGGCGACTAAAGGTTAAAATTGATAACGAGAGAGTCGGAGGATGTCTATGACAATACTTTGAACCCAGATAAAGAAGCCGGTGAAAGGTGATTAAATTGATACCGCAAAGTCGAATTAATCGTAATTGGCCTAATATTTGGACAATATTCTAATATATCAATACAAATACTAAATTCTGGACAACATCACATTATGACGGATAAATTCTATATATTTAAAGATGGAAATACATCGACCAGAGAGCACATTGTTGGGGTTATTGACGTCATTTACGAGATATAGACCGAAATTTCAACACGGATTTAAAGAGGCTCTCTAGAGTACAAACAATATCGTTCAGGAGCATAAATCAGCTCGGAATAGGTATGGTGATGATAGAGCTACTTATATCTAAATGGTTAATATACAGACTAAAACGTTTAATTCTTATGCTTAAGAAAAGCGTTTTCCTTCTCCACGATCAATCTATTTGGCTTAATGATGATTGAGGACCCGGTACCAAGACACCATATACCTATCTTAGGCACTTAGTCAAGAACGTAAAGACCGATCCCGGGATATCTAACCCGGATCGCGCAAATACTCATAACGTAAATTGGATGCAGGATACAAGGGAAGGGACTATATATCAAGATCGCCACATCTTAAGTGGTCAGAAGACCGGCACCAGGCTTTACAAGAATGTATCATAATTTTTACGAGACCTATTTACCCACACAAGCTATCAGTGCGTTGCTTCATCTGGTACGCCCAGCTACCACGGATGGTTTCATCTTGAAAAACATGGTTTTTGGCATATGAGATCATTCACACCACTCGTGAGGGCTTCTCCTACCTAGGTGACCTCGAATAGAAGGCAATAGAGTGCATAAATTCGACAATTGGTGGACCTGCCGTTACCGCTATACTGTTTGCTCTAAAGGCGACAATTAAGTATCCACGATCTTTAATTTTAGCTAGAATTTATGGGCGCAAGATAAACCAACAACGTGCCGCGTCATAATTCAAGCGAAAAATTGCGATCGTAGCTAGTCAATACTTCACCAAGGTGATGAACAACTAGGGATGTCGAGATAACCGGGGTATCATCTTTTTGAACTGCTAAACAGCTGCAGGCTTGATCATTTGATAACGAGTCGACGTGCAAAAGCCAAAACAAGAGCTTATATATATATATATATATCCAATTATACGGTGGTCGAAGAAGACTCATCGTTTAAATATTTTTTCGAGATAGACGACGCCAATGGAGGTCGTCGTGTTGCCGACGACGAGATGAAGGTCGAATTTGCTTAGCCATACTTGAAAGGGCGTGTCAAAGTGTATGCCGTAAATTTCCATCTTTATGGTTTAAATGCGTTTGAATCTTTAAATGCCTAAAGAATATCCCTGAAATGTGTCTAAGCTGCCATGGGATGGTTTCAGGGACCGATATGAAATCGTGATAATCTGGTAGAATAAGCGTGGTGCTCATGGTAATTCGTAGCGCATTCGCCACCTTGAGAGTCGTACAAAGTCAAAGCGTTTTTAAAATCACACGTTATTTACTGTGCCGAATGAACGGGCTAGCAGATGGCCCTGTTAAGACGCAGCTGTTCCCTTTGGACGACGTGACAGAAAGATGTATAAGTGGAGGTATAGGAAACATTTCGCCTAACTAGGCTCACGACAACTTGGGTTCCTGTCGTTACAATATGGCAGGAGATCGAAATCACAGGACCAATGGTCTCTCATATGTGAACAACGCATGTATTCGCTATATATGATAGAAGCTATTACAACAGTGCAATCGACATCAAAAGAGAAATGATACTACTATGAATGTAGACCCTCAAAAAGTGTCATTTCCAAAGAACGTACGACCGTCAGTCGGCCCATAAGGCCTAAGACGCGGATTCGAAATTATTTCGAAGTCTCTACAGTTAGGTTAACCGTCGAAATTTGGTCGAGGTCAGTAGAAGAAGGTGCCCTACTGATCCCGCGACGTCAAAAAATTGTAAACCGCTTGACTAATATTTCTCCTAACACATTGAATATTTGTACTACTGCCCGAATGAATAGGTATTCCACCATTTTGAGAAACCGAAGCAAATAACGATACGTCACTTTGTGCTCTAGTTGGTGGTCAGTATCTAATAATTGCTTTGGAAGCCAATACATTCAGTTTATTGGGCTTAACTTAGTTGGACGCAAGGAACTTCCATCGAGATCGACGGAGTGCCACATAAGCATCTGTGCAGTGAAGAAACAAGTGGTAACCACTCCACATTAAAGGTTGAACATAACGATGATCATGTACATGCAATTGTTGTGGATAGATAACTTAACGTTATTTTTTCTCTCCAATTTTCTCAAACGGTACGAGCGGTAAATCAACTGACAGCATCAATTCGTAAAGATGTCTGCCTCTTAATAAGTAGACAATCATCTCATAAATGTCTTGGGGTTTTCACAAGCATTTCAATATTCAACAAGTTGGTGCAATGGCCTCACTTGTGGATCTTTCATTTGCTCGACTGCACAAGACATCAGTGTAGCTAGTAATTACACTTTGGTGTCAGCTTCCGACGGATATGCAATTTACAGTCATCTTAATATTCTACCACTCGACTAAGGCGAGTGTAGATGGACATGGATGCATGCAAACTAGTGATCACCCAAGGATGAAGAAACTTACTGGAAAGAAGCAGTGAAACGGTGATGAAAGGGTGACTAAAACATACTTTATAGAACGGAGCATTTTCAGTGATACCACTGCTTTAAGACGTTCAAGACATTATATTCTACGTACTTAAGCAATATAATTCGTACGCAATAAATACTGAGTAAATACGTCCAATTAATTTTAGTAAATAAGCTTTCTGGAAGTAATCGAGTCATTGTATGATTGGTTAATGACGCATGAAGATGAGGCATATATCCACTTCGTCAGGCAGAAAATTTAAAGTCAACTCCGGAGATCACTCAGTTTCCTACGATCGAACCTACTATGTCCTTCCGCCAAACGCTCAGTGGAAACTACAAGAAGATCTG